CTTGTTATTAATTTCTAGTTTTAATCCATTTTGGTCTGAAAAGATAGTTGAAATGATTGATTTTTTTTAAAGGTATTGAGACTTGATTTGTGAAGTAACATGTGTTCTATCTTGGAGAATGTTCTGTGTGCTGATAAGAAGAATGCATATTCCGTAGTTGTTGGATGAAATGTTCTGTAAACATTTACCAGGTCCAATTCATCTAAAGTTTAGTTTAAATCCTGTGATTCTCTGTTGATTTTGTTGCCTAGATGATCTGTCCAATGATGAGAGGGGGGTGTTCAGGTCCCTCACTATTATCATGTTGGGGTCTATCTCTTTCTTTAGGTCTAATAGTGTTTGCTTTATATATCTGGGTGCTCCAGTGTTGGGTGCATATATATTTATGATTGTTATGTCTTCTTGCTGGATTGATTTCTTTATCATTACATAGTGGCCTTCTTTGTCTCTTTTTACAGTTTTTGGTTTAACATCTATTTTATGTGATATAAGAATAGCTACTCCTGCTCATTTTTGGTTTACATTTGTATGGTATATCTTTTCCCATCCCTTCACTATTAGTCTGTGTTCATCATTATCAGTGAGATGAGTCTCTTGAAGACAGCATACAGTTGGGTCTTGCTTTTTGATCCAATCCATCAGTCTGTGTCTTTTGAGTGGGGAGTTTAATGCTTTTACATTTAGGGTTGTTATTGAGAAGTATTATCTTATTCCTGATATTTAGCTTTTCATTTAGATGTTTTGAATGTCATTTATTCCTTTATTTTCCTTTAATTATTGGTCTTCACTGTTTGTGGGGATTTTTTGAGGTGGTAAAATTTAGTTTCTTTTGTCTTTCTCATTTGCATTTGTGTTTTACTAGTGGGTTTTATTCTTACTTGTGTATTCGTAGTAGTGATTATTGTTTTTTGGATTCCAGATGCAGGACTCCCTTAAGAATTTCTTGCAGAACTGGTCGTGTGGTGATGAACTCCCATGGTTTTTATCTGGGAAATACACTATTTCTCTCTCATTTCTGAAGGATAGCCTTGATGGGTGTAGTATTCTTGCCTGGCAGCCTTTTTATTTTAGTATTTTGAATATGTCATCCCATTTTCTTCTCACCTGTAGAGTTTCAGTTGAGAAGTCTGCTGTTAGTGTAATGGAAGCTCCCTTATAAGTGATTTGATGCTTCTCTCTTGCTATTTTTAGGATTCTCTCTTTGTCTCTGAGCTTTGCAAATTTGACTATAATGTATCTTGGAGAGGATCTTTTTGGGTTGAATCTGTTTGGGGATCTTTGAGCTTCCTGGATCTGAAGGTCTGTGTCTCTCCCTATACCTGGGAAGTTTTCCATTATTATTTCATTAAATAGATTTTTAATGTTTTTACATTTCTCCTCCCCTTCAGAAACACCCATGATTTGGATGTTTGTGCACTTAAGGTTGTCTGCTAGCTATCTTAGACATTCTTCACTTTTTAAAATTATTTTATCCTTTTTTTTTTTTTGTCTGCCTGGGTTATTTCATAAAGACTATCTCTGAGTTCAGAAATTCTTTCTTCTGCTTGTTCTAAACTGTTGCTTAAGCTCTTGGTTATGTTTTTTATTTCATTGAATTCATCTTTCAGTTCCAGTTCTGCTACATTGTTTTTTAAGGTATTAATCTCTTTGTAAATTTCATCCTTCATATGCTGGATACTTTTTTCTCATTTCATTGTGTTGTCTTACAGAGTCCTCTCTTATCTCATTGAGTTTCCTTAAGACAGTTACTTTTCAGTCATTTCAAGGGTTTCCTGTTCTATAGGGTCTGGTACTTGAGAGTTACTGAATTCCTTTGGCAGTTTCATATTTTCTGATTTTTTCATATTTCTAGTATCTCTACATTGATTTCTGGTCATCTGGGAGATCAGTTGCTTCTTCTATTACTTTGGAGTGGATTTTGAGGAGAAAGACTTCTCCTTTTTCCAGGCTCCTCCAGTGACTCTCCTTGTGTCAGTGAAGTCAAATATGTGGCGGGCCACCTGCATGGTAGTCTTGGATGTTACTGAGGCTGTGAGCCATCCTTGCAACAGTAGTAGCTGTGGTGGTAGCTGTGTGAAGCCTTGTGGCAGCAGCCTCATGGTATTGGGTCCTGCCTTCTGCGCAGGTGGGGCAGGGATCTGAGTGGATGGCTGGCCTGTTCAGCTGCCTGTCTGAGTGCCTCCCCCATTGGCAGCAGCACGGCTTGGGGTTCTGCCTTCTGTGCAGGCAGGGTGGGGGTCTGGGTGGGTGGCTGGCCTGTTCTGCTTCCTTTTTGAGGTACAGAAGTTTAAATTTCTATGTTATCAAACATCAGTCTTTTCCTTTATGGTTTCTTTCTTTGCTTTTATGCTCACACCCAAAGATATTTCTTTTTTTTTATTGAATCATAATTTTTGGGATTCAGTGTTGACATATGTGGATCAAATCAGTATTACTAGTATGTATATTGTTACAAATTGTACTTATTCTTTATGCCCCTTGTCCAATCCCTCCCCAACCCCTCTCCAGAGAGAAAAGGAGTTGTAAGATCCTTTCTTTCTAATCCTGGCAGCAGCATGCTCCTGAAAAGCTAAGTGTTGCCTTTGCAATCCCAAGTGTCTCACTCATGGTTAAGAAGAGAGCTGAGTAGAGATAGTCCCCTTTCATCTTTGTCTCCTTCCTCATCGTATAACTTCGTATAATGTATGCTATACGAAGTTATTACGTTGATTTGTTGCCTAGATGATCTGTCCAATGCTGAGAGGTGTGATCAGGTCCCCCAATATTATCATAGAGCAGATGCTTCTTCTGTCACTCTGGAATGGGCTTTGTGGAGAGAGACATCCTCTTCTTTTCTTTGGTCTCTGCTGGTGACTCTCCTTGTATCAGTGCACTCCAGTGGCTGGCAGACCATCTGCGTGGTGGTTGTGATGTCTCACACCCAAAGATATTTCTAAAACACAAATCTGATCATACCCCTCCCTTGATTAAAATCTTCCCGCAGCTCTTGGGAAGGAATTCCAGCCTCCTTCTGGTGCTCCAAGCCCAGGTTATTGTCACCACATAGGTACTTGGGGTTCTAGTTACATCAGGTAACTTGTACTTGGTACTTGGCGCCCTCTGCTTGGGAAGCCAGTCCTCCCCATCTCTACCCCTCTTCCAGTGCATTATCAAAGACTCAGATCAGACACAATCGCCTTCTTTATACCTGTTCTTCCTCTTCCTCCTGTGCAGCACCTGGTACCCAGAAGGTTTCTGTAATGGTTTATAAAATGTATAGCCCAAATAACAAGCAAAGTTTAAAATCACTGATAGGAGAATTGGCTCTCAGGGTCAGTTTAGAATCAAAAAATTGGACTGAGCTGCTGGGGGCTCAGCTATGAGCAATTGAAAGACCTCAGGCAGCATGAGAAAGGCATTCAGAAGGTGGTAGAAGGGAGCGGCAGGCACAGGGCAGGAGGCCAGGGAGGCTGGCAGGGGTTCAGGGCCAAGACTAGGACTGGGTTTCCCAGAGGGCTGAAGGACAGCCTCTAGGAAGGGCTCAGTTCTGAAAGCACCAGCTAATAGTCACCTGAGGTTTCCAACTGGAAAACCAGTTTTACCGCCCAAACCTCCTCCTACCCCACAGTCTTCCCCACACCAGCAAATGGCATACCACTTTCTAGTTCCACAGGCCAGAAACTGGAGTCACTTCGTTCCTTTTCCTCCCACATCCCACATCCCATCTGTCAGCGAGTCCTGTTGGATCTACCTTTAAAATGTAGCCAGGCCACATATTGTAGGAGTCCATTTCGATGACATCCTGGAAAAGGCAACACTGTAGCGACAGAAAACAGATCTGTTGCCAGAGGCCAGGGGAGGGGTAACTCTAAAGGGTTATGAGGGAATTTGGGGGCTGATGCACTCTTCTATGCCTTGATTGTTGTGGCGGTCACAGAACTGTATGAGTTTGTCAAAACTCACAGGACTGTATACAAAAAAGGGTGAGTTTATTATACCTTAATGCAAATATGGGAAAACATATACTGGGAATCTGACCATTTCTCACCATCATCGTGGCCATCACCCTGGGCTGGGCACCATCATGACCTTGGATTCTTAGCGATGGGCTCTTAACTGCTCTCCCTGTTCCTGCCCTCACTTCACTGCAGTCTGTCCTTTGAAAACAAAAAGCAGATTTTTGTTACTCCTTTGCTCAGAGCTCTACAGAGGGACAGTCCCCTCTTAATTCTCTGACTTGATCTCTCCCAGTGCTCCCCACTCTTCGCTCACCACCACCATGACAGCCTCCCTCTGCCCCTTGAACATGCCCTGTGGTTCTCCTCAGAGTAAAAGACAGAGTTCTCAGCTTCTGCCCACCCAGCAGTCCCCCTGCAGTCACTGTGGCCTACTTGCTCTTCCTTGGCCTCGTGCAGTGTGTGCTCCAGGTTCTCTGTCTGGAATGAGCTGCCCCTGATTCCCATTCATGTGGTCCCTCCCTCGTCTCTACAGGTCTTTGTTCAAAGAGCATTTTCTCAGTGAGGCCTTCCCTCAGCACCCCATTTGCAAGTGCAGCCCACTGCCCCCACCCTACTTGCTATCCTCTTTCATCTTATTTCTCTCACAGACCACAGTTCCATCTGACATACCACATATTTGGTTTACTGTGTGATTCCTCCTCATATCCAGGAGGACAGGAATTTTTGTTTTAGTTTCTGCTACCCTTCCAGTTCTTAGGGCATTTCTATTTGCCTGGCAAATTACTGAGTCTACTCAGTAATTTTGTAGATGGAAGAAAAGAAGGGGAGAAGGAAGGAGTCCCAAGAACCAGCAGTGATTGTAATCTTATGTATCAGCATCTCACGGCCCCCAAATTTTACTCAATTCTTTCCCATATGTTGTCTGCAACAGCAAGGAATGTAGTGCAAGTCTCAGTTTGTGGGTCCAGGGGTTTTGGGGTTGTCTCTCCTTTCTGCTTTTTTGTTTCGCTGCCACCTCAGATTGTTAAGTTAACAGATGCCTTCTCTCAAATTTCTCTTTAGAAGCAGATGTTCCAGGAGAGGAGCAGCCGGATGCTACAGGCCTTATCCCCGAAGCAGAGCCCTGTGAGCAGCCCGACCAGGAGCCGTTCCCCTTCCCGTTCTCCGTCACCCACCTTCTCATGGCTCCCCATCAAAACCTCACCCCCCTCCTCGCCCAAAGCAGCCTCAGCCTCCATCAGCAGCCTGAGTGAGGGGGACGAGGACGAGAAGTAAAGGCTGCTGGCAGACAAGAGCCACACCACACAGGACGGGGAGAGCACGTCACAGGATGCCTGGGTGGTGTTTGAAGGGGACTAGTCACAGGAGCTGCAGCTCAGCAGGGAGACCCTGCTTGGGACCAGTTCTCCCTCACTGTCCACACAGCCCAACACTTGGGCTCCGCATGGAGGTTTCCAGCTGGACAACCTATACCAACCTTCTTAGCTTCATCTGGAAGAATCACTCTGCTTTAACCTTGCTAAGGAAAGAGGCAGAGTGCCCCAGGGAGACTTGCACTGAGTGGGGTGAGTCCTGCTTTGGTCCTTACACCTACTTCCAGCAAGTAAACCACCTGTGGAAGCGGCTGTTCCCTCAACCTGCTACTTCTGGCTCTGTAAGGGCCCTGCACGTTGCCTCCTACCACCGAAGCTCTGCCAGAATAAAGTTATTTTCAAGAGAGGTGAAAAAGTGTTTCTGAAATAGTCAAGTTAAAGACATTCCAACCTTCTCTGTTCAGCCACTAAGACTTGATATTGCAACACATCGATTCTTTCCAGTTCCAGAAATATGGCTCATAGACAAAGCCTTGCTGAAGGTCAGCTATGAAAGGTGAACCTTATTCAAAGGATTGCTTTGTCAAGATGTACTGCACATAAGGCCTAATGTGTTCCTGGTTGTACTTTCTCATCATTGGTTTGACTTCAGTGTTTTCCAGAAATGACCTTAACCTGTGGGAACTGCAACAAAGAAAAACATCCTGTGTAAGAAAGGAGAAGCTGCTTAGCTTTGGCTCCAAGTTTAGCAGATGATAAATGTCTCCTGAAGCTTCTCCTTAAAGGATGCTATCATGGAATGGCTTTTCCCATCTCTGACCAATTAACAGTTTCATAGACCTCAAGTAACAGTTCAATGTACCAAACACATAGTGTACCAATAGGGGGTGCTACCTGCATGTACCTGTTCTGCGTATGCTCCAAATATGCCATTCCAGGCATATACCATATGCAATATGAATATATGATGGTGGCATTTTACAATATACTTCTCTCCTGCTCTCCATCCTAATACCCTGCTGAAATCCGTGCTCTAAAGAACCATCTGGTTCCCTTATGACTTGGGCACTTTGTCAAAAACTCATCCCAGATTCTCATAGAAATGTTTTGTCCCAACCAGGAAATTAGTTGGTGGTTCTCGTGGCCTTCTATAACATTCTGGGATGAAGGGAGGCTCTGAAGGGTTTTGCAGAGCACTGTGGGCTCAGTTATGATCTCAGTATCTGAAGGATCTAGCTGGTATTGTAGTTATCTCTGGCCCTAGGTTTGCTGAATGGAACTCTAAGCATTCCTGCTGAGTTGTCTGAAGTTACTGCTTCCTGATCATATATAGGAAATGAGCAGGTAGAGTCAAGGTTTGGAACCAAACTCATGGGTATAAATAGGTATTGCCTGGTTGTCCCTCTAAAGTCAGAGACAGACCTGGGGTCTGACGGAGCAGAGGCCCAAACCAGCAACTTGTGGGCAGAGTCCAGCATCTCTTGTGCCAGGAATGCCCTTTGTCAGAGGCCTTGGGAACCAGCCGTCTAGGCAATAAGAGGTGCAACCAGTGAAGGAAGGTGGCATGTCTTTCCCCTTTGTGTTGGGGTTGAACTACCTCCCTGCCCACCTGGAGATGAGTGGTGTGTGTTGGGAAGCAAAACTATGAGGCTAAACTGGCCTGGAACCTCCTTGTTCGTGGCACTTTCTCCAGAACTCTGTAAAGCACTCATGAGGGACAGAGAACTGGCAGGAACCAGGCATGTGAGAAAACTTCCTTTTGCTCTGCAGAGAGGCAAGGGCCCCGTTCTTCCATTGTGCCCACTTGGCCTCTGTCTTCCATCTGCATTCAGGACACGCTGTGCATGTCTGCCTGCCATTTCAGCTGGTTGACACCTGTAGCAGTGAAAGGATGAGGAGATCAGCCAGGCAAGTGAAGGTAGTGACAACAAGAGAAAAGGAGAAAGGAGGTTCCTGGAGAGAGGAAAGGAGGATAAAGAAAATCTGCTCTCTTAAACCATTTCAGCACCTCTCTGTAGATGAAACTCTCTCCTGGGAGGGCTCTTATGCTCTTACTCCATGCTCCGGGGCAGACAGATGCACTTTCACCTGAATCCTACTCTGGAGCAAATAATGTGGGGTTGATGTGTCAGGCTGACTAAACTTGCAGCCCTTACATGCCATACTGACAGGTGCCATTTGTGTGGCTCATCAGATAGTGCCACCGTAGCTGCCAATTAGGGGAAACAACCAATGCCTGGGTTATTCCAGGCATGGGTCAAAACAACCCACAAGTGGGTTCTAAGTCTCACCCTCCTAACCTCCAGCAATACCTCGCCATCCTCCTAAGGCTACAAGTCTACTGAGAAGGTATGGGGAGGACTCTGCAACCCAACTTTTGGTACTTCTTGACCATCTCTCAGTCTCTCCCAGGCCCCCCCCCCCGAACACCACCACCTCTCCCCCCGCAGGAGGAGACGGGGTTGCACTTTGGGCCGGCACGTGAATTGTAATGGCCAAGAGTGAGTTAAGGCTGGAATGGGAAATATAGAAAGTATGCTACAAGCTTGGAGAGGTAAGCAGAAATGACAAAAAGCAAGGACAGAGATTGTTTTTGCCCTAGAAAGTGAAGGAAGCTTCCGACCGAGGAGGGTTGGAGGACAGCAGCTTAGGATTGTGGAAGGGGGCAGATATGAAGATGGGAGAAAATGGCACTGAAGTAGGGTGGGAGTGGGAGGATAGTTATTTTCCACTCCCTTTCACGTGTGAACTCACCTGCTAACAGGTGAAGACGAAAGCGTTCCTTCTCCATACGTCCACGGTCAGCAGGTACCCACACAGGGTGTGGCGTCCCTGCCTCTCTGGCTTCCTCCTTTCAGCTCTTCTACGTTAGATGCCACATCCGCCTTATGAGGCCCCTGAAATCAAACGTTCGCCCCTCTGCCAGCTAAGAAACAAGGGTGGAATTGTAATGCCGTATTCACATTGGATGACCTGCTTCTGGCAAGCCAGCTCCTGAGTGTCAGGACCTTGCAAAGGCAAAGGAAAGCCAGCCTCAAGAGGAATAAAAGACAAGCCTGGCTTTTGACTTGCTCCAGGTGGAAGAGACGCAGCCACGGGATCTCAATCTTGCTCCATGCCTTAGGCTCCTAGATACTGTGATTCTATCCCTTGAGGGAGGGATGGGAAAAACACAAATCGATTTTTCTCTCCATCTTCAGGACCTGTTTTAGCACCCAGTCATACCCCTAGGAGAGATGTGAGATGGCGTCACTGGCTCAGCTGAGTCAGATGAGCCCGTATCTAGCAGAGATGTGCCTGTCGTTCAGGCATCCGTTCAGCACTAGTCCTGGCCATCAGATTTTAAAAAAAGAAATAGCTCATGAGGCACTGCAACTTCTACTCCACTCTAGACTCCTCTCTAGTTCTGTGTTGTGTCACTGCGATGTGTTTGGGGACAAAGCCATAAGAAGAGCATACATACTTAAGACTATGCTGTACATATAAGACAAGACGACTATGTCTCGTCTGGGTTAAAGCACGACCTTATGCCCAAGCGTTTGCTCTGGTGCTGAATAATGCTAACTACTGAAATCAGCCCCCCCCTTCGCCCTGCACCTCCTTTCCCCTGTTCCTAAATGGAACACGGCATTTCCAACTCATTTATAAATAAAGGGATGCAGAATTGCATTTTTGCTTGTTGTGTTTCTTGAAAGTATGCTGCCGTGTGCTCCTATTTATGAGCTCTCGCTCAACGTGGAAAATCCAGGCATTGTAGCAGCTGTCATGGTCCTCTGGCTGGCTCTGCCCAGCTATGGTCCCAGCGCTTCCGAATGATCTGGCTCTGTGCTGTGCGGAATGGGCCAAAGTCTTAGAGTTGCCAAAGGACCCACATCTGACTTAAAAGCTAGTTAGGAGCAGAAGCATCTGGAGGAGAGGTCATGTGGGGAGCCCAATCAGGACTCCGATTTGGAGGCTCCACCACTAACTTGTTTGGTGACCTTGGCCAAGGCACTTCACTTCTCTGGCCTCAGTGTCTACTTTCGTAAAAGGAGGGGGTTGAAGGAAATGGTTTCTGAGGTCTCCTTTGCCTGTAAAGGTCTTTGAATTTATGAGGCAGCTGCATTGTCCCCAAGCTTCTGCCAGCTACAATGTGGTCACTGAGCAACCTTGAGAAAGTGGGAAGCCAGAGAGGTGGTCCTCCCATCCCCTGGGGCCCCCACAACTGACAGCATCTGTGACCGGTTTCATGCCTCGGCCTCCACACTTCGAGCATCAACATAAAAGGCTCGGGTTCCATCCACCTTTCTTGCCACTTGGCGGAATGCTTTTCTCTAAAGGGTACTTAAACTTTGGGAAGTGGCCATTTCCACCACTTTTCCATCTTTGGGAAAAAGCTCCTTTGATCAGCTGGAGGCAGGCAGATGGGGTGGAGACCCTAAATCAGGATCCCATATGTCAACAGTGAAGGCAGATAGAGACTTTCCAAGAATTGTGCTCAGGCCTTCCACTTGCTGAGTTTAGGAGCTTCCATGAACTCCATCTGGAGAAGGTTAGCGCTTTGAAATGACCACAGTTCTGATATTAGCCTAGGCTCTAGAATAAATAAAGCCAGTCCTGCAGTCAGCAAGGGAGTGAATTTCAAACTGGAATACCTATTATTCATAGACAATATTACTTGGCTTTGCCGCACAGACCAGACACATTCCTGACAGGTTGTATTTAAAGTAACAGAGGTTTCTTCTTGACTTCCACGATAACCTCAGACATGCTCTCAAGGGAAAAACAATCAGTTCTAAGGTGTAGTAAAACATATTTAAGAACCTTGATATTTTCCCCAAAGAGAATTAGCCTTTGTTAATAAACAGAACTCCTGGAGGAAAAAGGTACACTAGCAAGTGTTTGCACACACAGCACACCACACACACAGTCCTCTTGTACTGGAGTCCTCATTGGCTATTGGAGTTAAATGTTTAAGTAACTTCTCCAGGTTTTCAGCAGGACCCATTAGATAAAAAAGTCCCATAGAAATGCTTTTCAGACACAGTGTGACAGTTCATAAGCATTGAAGTATACCCAGTAACCAAATTCTTTAAAAAAAAATCAAGCAAAAACCAATAAATAACCAGTAAAATCTGACAATATTATTAACAGCACAACTAACCCTTATGTTAGGCCCTTCTGTGCTGCCATAGCTTGCATTCTAGAAAAGACACTATACTGGCTGAATCTCAGGTGCAGTTGACCAAATGTGGGAAACTTGAAATGTTCAGAGTAAGGTTGACTTATACCATCTCCTGTAAGCAATTTCTATTCTTAACTTTATAATCTTTCTTGGGTTGTGGGGAGAAGTTAATCTGCAAACTTACTTGTATTAGTCCATTTCTGTTGCTTATAACAAAATACACGGAACTGGGTAATTTATAAAGAAAACGAAATTTATTTCTTACAGTTTCTGAGGCTGGGAAGTCCAAAGTCCATCTGGTGGTGGCAACAGTGACCCAGGGGTCTCACATTCAAGATGGTGGAAGCAGAGAGAGTGGGGGGGAGGGGGAGAGACTCTCTCTCCTTTTAAAGTCCTCAGAACCACACCCCTGACTACCATTTTTAATCCATTCACTAGTGCACAGTCCTACAATCCAATCACCTCTTCAAGGCTCTCCCTTTCAATTACCATAATAGGATTTCCCACCCTCTTAACAGTCACAGTGGGGACCCAGTTTCTAATATATAAAACTTGGGGGACACAATTCAAGCTTCAGTGAGTTTTGGGGGGACATATTTGATCCACTACATCTCTGTACTCTATTCATAAAAGCAGGATTCTGATGGAGGGATTAGATACAACTGAAATAGTTGATATGTAAACTTCCATTTATTTATTTATTTTTTATACTCATCAAGTTATTTTCTTGTCACACTTTATGTCACATCTTAAATACTTTACCTTACCGACCAAAATATGTTTTGTTTTGTTTTTCTTTGGGTTTTTAGAGCATTGTGTGCTGTAGGATTTAACATTTCTTAACTGCCAAAATATCATTTGTCAAAGGCAGGTGAGGACTGGACATGCTGAATAAATACTTTTCCACTCTATCTGCTTTTTGGCTGAGTCCCCTACCAACACACTAGAAGACGCTGCCTCCTTGTTACACTTGGCAGAACTTCACCAGCTACTGGAGAGTGAGAGCCAGGCACATTTTTAAATGGGTAGGTTTTGACATTCAGTATTAACAAGGCATTACCAGCAAAGGGGTGTGGAGGTGTGTGTTAGTTCGGGTCCTCTGAGATTAAGGGTGTGAGGATTTTGTTAGGGAAAGCACCTATGTGAAAGAAAATGGTGGTGATGGGTGTGGGGGGGTGGGGGGAGAACTGTCAGACCATGATGCAAATCAGACTCCAAGTGAAGGAGAGAAGGAGAGGTGGTTGGGTGGAAGCGTTCTGGACTTACAAGCAGCCTGAGGAAAGTTTGGCAAAGCCACTAGGGAGTCCTCAAGCCAAAGTCAGCCGATAAAGGAGTCACCAGTCTCCCAGGATTGGTCTACCTTGGTATCCCTGCCGCACTCATTTTGCGGGCAGGAGCAGCCTGTGGCAAGCTCCACCGCAATGCAAACGTGGCTGTAGGCTTCAGAGTGCAGCCCTGAGCCCTGGTCAGGCCCATTTCCTGTGGCAGACCCATTCCATGTCCTCCACAAGGTGGGAATTTTGCCTGAAAGGGGAGCTGTTGATCAGATGGCAGGAAACCCTTGGCAGCCCCCTTTCAAGGTGTAGGAAATGTCCTCAACCCAGCGTGCCCTCAGGAGATCCAGCTGGCCCTCTGTGCACCTCATACTCCCCAATACTCCTTCAGCACGAACGCCTTCAGAATCCGCACTAGCGTTTACTTTACATTAGGACCATTTGCTCTGTTGAGCCCTTGGAAGGAGTAACAAATTAAACCTCTTCAGTCAGTTAGTCCTCAAGATTAATTAACCATCTAGATCATTTTCTGATCCCAGGGAAGAGAAGAACAAAAAAACCTTGGCATAGGAACCAGAAGGGAGAGGTAAGGCACAATTGTCCCTACTTGGCCATTTTACCCAAGGTAGATCTTGCTCCTGATAAACCACATGTGGCCACTTCTGATTCCTGTGCCCCAGTCCTGGAAGGGACTCAGTTTGCCGGTGACTGGCAGGTCAACTGTCCATTGTGTTCCTGGCTGCATCCCTAGTGTCTGTCACACCACCAGCATCGTAGTTATCACAGCTGTTGTCATCACCATCATTGTCGGTGTCGTCATCATCACCATTGCTAACAGT